TGATGTTGTAATTTTGATCCTAATTTTAACTACGTTTTAATCGACAGATAGTAGCTTTAGTGAAACGCATTGCGATATGCATGTGTTCGCAACATTGCGTTTTCTGTTTGCATCTGCTTCAGCTTTTGAGATTCAGTAAGTATGCTGTTTCGGAGTTTACTCGACTTTAATTCCGACACGTACTTTTACCTCAGTTTGATCTATATGTTGAATTGTTTTCAGTGTGCTTATAGATTTTCAAATAGATAATTTTTTTGAGCTTTTAGTTTATATCGATTTCACATGCCAATACACTACTTCGAAAATCAATGCCAGCATTCTCTCGGGAGACCGGAATACCAAGGTTTGCCTGGACGACTTTTGATATCGAGACATCATTATTCAGGATGGACTGTTATAAAGGAACCAAAATGCTGAGAGTTTTGCAAACCTCTGTGCCTTCAGCAAACTGATCATCAGTGGCAAATTATTTGCACACTAACGCAGAGAAAAGTTTGCCATTTTTACGCGGAATCACATCACTATGAACCAAATTGTCTATTTATGTATCAATAAAAATTCAGAAGGTCTATGGAGGACGTTAGAATCAAGAGAGGAGCTGATATAGCCTCAATTTACAATTTGCTGTTGGCCAAAATGAAACCGAAACTGACAAAAACACTGGATAATGAGGCAGAATTTTAATATTGTTCTTCTTCAAGATACCTTCGAACTCAACGAATTTAAGATAGCCCTTAGCAATAGGTTCCAGGCCTTGCACGATATACTCAACGGTGAGTAAACAACTTTGGAGTTCAGTAAAAATTCGATCATGGAGGCACTCACCTCAACATTTCAGGAGGTTCTGGGCACCTGGAAGTAGCACACAATGAATATATCTCTGTTGGCACTATTGAAACAATAGGAGAAAGGAGGAACGATAATGCAGCAATCAACGCCAGCCGAAAAAGAGCAGAGAAAGATAAGGAACAAGCCTAATGTGTAGAAGCAGACGGGATAGTGAAGGAGAGCATCAGAGCCGACAAACAAAAATATGCGAAACATCTAGGAACGATGGCGGAAGATGCTGCAAGAGACGGGAACGTGAGACAATTGTTTGAAACAACAAAGAAGCTCGCCGGAAAATATCGTAAACCAGAACGACCAGTGAAAAACAAGGAAGGCATTGAAATAGAGCAAGGTAGGTGGGTAAAGTACTTCTAAGAATTCTTGCGTCGAACAGTCCCACTGAACCCACCAAACATCGAGGCCGCATCTACGGGGATCCCAATAGACGTTGGCACACCAGCAATTGAAGAGATAAGTGTGGCCATCAGAAAAGTCAAGAGTGGCAAAGCAGCAGGATCAGAAAACATTTCAGCTGAAGCAATGAAAGAAGACGCGGAAGTAACCGCAAAAATATTTCACCTTTTCCTCAGTAAGATTTGGGATGAGGAACATGTACCATCAGACTGGAAACAAAGATAGCTGATCAAAATA